TGCGTTCGAAGGCGCGAGCTATATTCATGGCTGTAACCAGGTTGGGGGGATTCTGCATTTCCACGTCCACCCGCAGGGGTTCTGCTAACCCAGCGATGAACATGTCTACCTGCTGGTCCGGTCGCACTGAAGTTGCCCTTGCGAGGAGGGTCTAGAACTGGCGCTGGTATTCTACCACCGTGCCGGTTTGTTTAAGGTTAATCAGTTGGCCTAAGGGGTTGCTTGTCAGTGGGGGCCCAAATCTAAGAAGGCAGTAGGACTTGAACTGGGTCCAATTGAGCCCAGGTTCTTTCTGTTCTAATCGATAGAACCAGAGTTGCGCTTCCTCTGTTAAGTAAAAGGCGGCTAGGCTTACCTTATCCCGGTCGTCTGTCCGTTGATTTCGAAAAAGCTGCTCGCACTGGTACAGCCAGCCCAAGGGATCTCCATTGCCGTTGTACGACGGGAATTCTAACCTGTTGTACTTGGGGATGACTACGGCCCCCTAGTTGCCGAACTGCTGTTCGCCGGAAGACTCCGGCAGATCTGGTCGGCGGCCGCTAGTGGCTGTCACCCCTTCTATGTTCCTCTCTTTGCTAGAAAGGAATAACTCCATCAGACGCCGTAGTTCCCTGACTTCGTCCTTGATTTCCCGTACTTCCGAGCTGGTCTCCATGAGTCGGTGCTCGAGTTTGTGGACCCTGGACGGCAGCTGCTCCAGATCACCCATGACGCCTTGCTCTGATACTAAAATTGTTATGGGCCCGCGAATAGGATCTCGTCACGGGTCGGTCCACGAGGAAAACCTCCTGCTTTCCCTTGTTCCTCCCTTTCCTTGAAGAACCTATCTTGCCGCCCTAAAGGTGATTTGTTCAAGAGATCACCCTAACTCTCCTTTACTCTTATCTTTGACTGAAATTTTGGATGCCTTTATTCAATAATAGTGGCTCCTTAAATAGGAGATTACAAGAGTCCTGCTCTTAGGGAGACTCCTTGCTGAATAGGGAGACCGATAAGATAAGATTGATAAGATAAGATAAGTCTCTCTTAATCCTAATCTAATAAGATAAGTCTCTCTTAATCCTAATCTAATAAGATAAGATATTCTAATCTACTATAACTTAATAAGATAAGAATAACAAGATAGTCTAATCTAATCTGCTGAATGGATAAGACTGTTGCTGCCGAATTGGATAGGATGAGGACACTGGATCATTGTTGCTGCTGCTCCCAATACGCGTCCACATCAATTCCAGAAGAAGAAGAAGGCCACATCAGCCTAGTGAATCCATTTCAAAGGTAGCTGGAGTTTACTGAATTAAACATGTTGGCAAGTTGTTGTAAATCTGTTGTAAGTTAGTTATGATAGAAACTAGACATTTGGCAAGTTGTTGTTGTAAATCTATTTTACTTACAATAAGATGTGAATAAAGTTTTCACAATTTTCTTCTCTTGTCTTCTTCTCTAATTCAGGATGTCATCCTCCCTCGAAGAGGATCTGCGTTAGGCAGCTCCCCAGCATTTGGTATCAAAGCTTACGGCAGGACACATCATGCCAAGCACACGATTGGAAACCATGGAAGAATGAATGGATTGAATGGAGAGATTCATCTGCATAAAATGACGAGCGATTTGCAAGAGATCAAGCATACTTCAGCAACATTGATGGCCCAGGTGGAGAAAAACTGTGGAAGGAACCCATGATGGCGATCAAGAAGGGAATGGCAGAGATCAAGGAGGAGGAAATCGTGGTTGGACAATGACCAGGTCAGCCAAGTTATACTTCCCAAAATATTCAGGTGAGGATCCCATACCTTGGAAATTTAGGGCAGAAAGATACTTTGAGTACCACGATACACCCAGCCACCAAAGGGTTCTCATCGCTTCATTCCATCTGGAAGGAGAAGCAATCATGTGGTTCCAGTGGTTTTGTCATACCCATCCACAAGATTCTTGGGTGGATTTCACAGAAGCTCTATGTATTCGTTTTGGACCAACAAGGTTCGACAACTATGATAAAGCCCTATCTAAACTTAGGCAAACAGGGTCTGTGAGGGATTATTGTTACGGAAAAAACCCAAGAAAACAGATTCGAATGGCACCCAAACTGAAAGTAAAAGTAGAGATAAAGAGAAACAAGCGCAGAGAACACACACAGATTTACGTGGTTCGGCTTATAGCCTACGTCCACGGGTGAAGGAGGAACAGAAATCCACTATGAAGATGGAAATGGAGAAGAAGTACAAAGTTGTGCTCTCATAGAGAAAACCCTAAGCCCCAAATACACCCAAAGCCTCACTCGTCTCTCACAAGACTTAGACTCTGTATACAAGAGAGAAAACCCCCGAAAATACATAACTCTTCGTATTTGGTTCGGACCTATAAGATGAATATGGATCGGGTCCATAAGAATAGAAGTCAAGGCTCTTCAATCCACTCCGGTGCTTGCAGTGGTGGTCTAGCACAGCTGCAAGAAAAGGACTC